GGGGGGGGGGGGGGGGGGGGGGGGCGTCATCATTTTCCTATTTTTTTGGTTCCTGTTCTTGGTCATTTGGCACGCTTTGCCTTGCCGTTGCTCGCTGTGAATTTCCTTTGCGGTATGAAAGCCTGACGAGTGCCATTTGCCGGGCCGAGGCGGCTTCCTTCCGCCCAGCCGGGCCGCGATTGGCCGACGAGCGGCAAATTCCGCCAATCGGAAGCCATCCGGCCATTGTTGCCGAGCCGAGCCAACCCCGACGCTCGAGCTTCTCGTCCGGGGCCCCGGTCAAGTGGCGCGTTCTGTGTCGGACCGTCGTCGGAGGCGTCGCTCGTGTGGCGATCGTCGTCGCTGACCGGCGGTCGCCGCGCTCCAAACAAGCCGCCGCGGCCATCGTCACTCCAACCGTACACAAAATCAACCCGTTGTTGAAATAGATTGGTCCATTTTCTCTTTTTTTTTTTCTACTTGTTGATTGGCTCCAAAATCTTGCTCGTGTAAACGACGAGCATGTCTGTCGAATTTCCTGCGGCGAACGGTCAACTGTTTTTGTGGGTCAAGTTGCCAAATAACAGGAGCGCTTTGCAGTTCCGCAGCTCCCGCCGACCACATCCAAAGTTTCTTGAGTGGCTCTCGTTCCTCCTGCGGCCTCGCGGGCAAAAGAAACGGCCAGCTGGTGTCATTCGATGCGCCGGCCCTTGAAATCAGCCGGGGAAAGCGTGCAAGATGGCGGCCAACGCAATGGAAAAAATGTCTCCAAACGTGCGCGGCGGTTGCGTTGAGCGCGACTGGAACATGCGGTCGCGACGAGCTCGCTCACGTGCGGGAGGCCGGCCGGCAAGGCGGCAATGAGAAACACATGCCGCGCTCGGTCACTGGCGCCCCGCCGCGGCTTCACCGACACAAACGCCGCCAAGGCGACTCCTCCGAGTTGTTCGGAGGCAGGAAAAGGTGCACTTGGAAATCTTCACGTTTGCGGAGTTTTCTTCAGAGTTGCACCCATCAAATAGTCTCGTATTCGGATATCTTACTGAACAATTTGTCCAGTCATTGGCTATTCGGATTGAAATCTGTTTTTCCTGGTCATAAGTACTAAAGACTTAAATCACTTGATAACGAATGGCCAATTGCTTTTAATTTGTAGTTCGTCAACATTTGATACTTGAATGTAAACTGTGCTTAGCAGCCGACTGTTTTCCTCTCTAGAAATCATAGCGAGAATTTAGATCTCTCTCTCTCTCTTTCTCCCCCTTAGATTTTGCTCGATGAGACGACGTGATGTCAGAGCCGCAGCAGCAAGCGATTATTAATTCATTTTTTTTTTTTTTTTTTTTTTTTTTTTTTTTTTTTTTTTTTTTTTTTTTGGTCAGCTTCGGCGAAACACTCGAGTAAGCCCGATCGATTCAAAATGGATCAGCCGCAACGGCGACCGTGTCAGGCCGTCGGCATCAAATTGGACATTCATTGACATCAGCTGCCTTTGAAAAATAATTCGTCGGCTCTGTGAGCATTGCTAGCGCTTGCTAGCGCTGCAGACGCTGCCAAGCGCTAGCAACGGGCATTGTCCAATACGCTGTTCGAGTGATCACATCATTTTTTTAGCGCCCTTAATGACTGATTGTATGTTGTTGTTGTTGTGTTGGTTTTTTTTTCGCAGACACCGTCGGCTTGTTGAAATAGTTTGCGCACAAACTTGTCCTGTGGATTTAGCCACAATTTGCCTCCCGGGGGGGCGGAATAGCTCAAAAAGTCTTGGCAGCGGGTGTCACACATGAAGTGACAAAACTATTCTTATGTATTCATATGAATGTTGTTGGAAGGGCTCGGTGTTTTTCCTCTCCATTCTTGAGCCCAAAGACCGAGTCCGGTCCGGCATTGTTCTGGCAGATCCCGGCCGGATTTGCACTCGGGGCAGAATACGGCCACTAAGGCAACTCAAGGCCCGTAGTGTCCCGCTGGCTGATGCGTTGTGACGTTGTTGTGCTAGATGCGCTCTGCCGGAAAGAGTCGCCTCGCGGTTCACACGGCCGAACTGTGCGTGTGCGTCATTTGTTTCAATCCATTCTGGCTCCTCTCTAAGCAAACCGGCTTTTGTTTTCTCCACGAATTAAAGTGGCACTGCATTGTCAATGATCAATGTCAAAATGTAAGGAAAGAGAGCGCAATAAAGCCAAACACACACCCCCTTACTTTAGACCAGTGATGTACACTCCCAAAATTTGCGTGCAACTGCCTCCCACCCAAAAAGTTTCATAATTTCCACAAGATGGCAGCAAAACACCCCCCCCCACCCCCACCTTCTTCAACAAAGTTCTGGCCCTGTTCAAAAGAAGCTCCTCCTCTAAGTTCAACCCTGGTGCCTGGCAGCAACATGCCAGCAGGTTGCACCAAAGCTCCATTTTTAGATTTTTCGAAAAGAAATGATTTTTGCCTCGGCACAAAACAGTCAGCCAGGCGCCGTAGGACACCCCAAAAATCTGCAAAGTATGCTGGGATGCATACCAGCAACCCCCCCTCCCCCCAAAAAAATAAAATTAAAAACCACTTTTTTGTTGTTGCACGTTCCTAAAAAAGAAAAAAACTTTATTTGAAAAACTATAATCGCAATGTTTGATCCCGCTTTTTTTCAGAGTGATTCTTCACTCTTTGAGTTCTCATTGATCCAGAGTAGCGACCCCTTTTGATATCTCAAATGCCATTGAACACGACGGCAAAACAATTGCGAGCCAAGATCTTTCTTGATGATGATTGACGCCAACATGTCAAACTGATGTAACAAACTGAGGAGGACTTACTCCACATCAGATTTTGTAGGCCTTTAGTATTCGTGGCTGGGATTGGCAACCCCTATATATGATATATATATATATCTCACATTAGAAATGGAAAAGTCAAGTAAAAAAGTGATGTATAAAATAATGTGCCGTGTTTGCTCATCACCACAAGAGGGCAGCAAAAAATGGCAAGGAGGCGGTTTTGATTGGACCTTTTATTTGCTCCTGTTCATTTTTTTTGACACGTTCACTTCCCTCTTCCACACTGTCGCTTGTCACCGATGTATGGATGTTGAGGACTTCACATGAGGAAATACTTCAGAAACGACAACCAGAGTCATTCATTCAACTATCCAACGAGAATTAATAATAATTCCATAGCCAAAAACAAAATGCGCAACAGGTGTAAAAGCGCAGTCCGGGGAAACGATACAAAAAAAAGGGGTGCGTGTGGTGTATCTCGAGTATAAAAATCAATCTGAGCGATGGGGACAGGAAATGGAACCTTGATCCCAAATGCGCCGTTTTGACATGTTAGGTGAAGACGGCCAATCGAATGGCTCGGAGGAGCGAGCCAACGGCGGTGGGAGATCTTGAAAACACAGCGAAGCGAAGCGGGAGAACACGTGGGATGCTTTCTTCGGGGTGGACGTCGTCCGTTTGACGAGGAGCTCAGATGCCCAGCGTGTCGCTCGGCACGTGACACCCCAACAAAGCGTTGGCGGCTTCCACGCACTCGAGCGCTCCGGGCGCTAAAAGGGAAAATGAAAGCGCCGTCAGGGGACATGGCCGACTGGCTCGAATTTGGAGTCCAAAAGGTGCGCTGCTTTTGGGGTACCCTACCCTTCTGAGCGCGGAGCCACGCCGCCGCCTTCAGAGCCAGAAGCTGCCACTCGTCTCGGGCCTCAGACTGGAGCCCGTGAAGCCAGACGAGAGCCAGGATGGTGGCCCACACTTCCTCGCTCGCCTAATTCACGGCGCGTTCCGCAATGAGGCACAGAGATGGAGGGGGGAGGAGCCGCGATTAGAATGAGCCGACGTAAAGACGAAACCTCAGCCGGCATCCCGGGCTCCGTTTTCCCACGGCAAGCGGGAGGCTGGCCGCATGCGTTTGTTGATGTTGTGTTTTCGGAGATTTTGCCGATGGGCTGTGATGAAGCTCTGGAGTACATCTTAGCGAACGGTCCCTTTCGAGGTCCCTACGTGTTGCGTGAGCGAAATTGGTTTGAAAGGCAAAATGCCGGCGACTTGCAGAAGTAAGGTCGCGACATCTTGACCCGGGGTACAGCCAACGGGTCGAGCGCTTTTCGAAATGTTGTCTGATAGCTTTGCAACATTTGTGCTGGCATCATGTGGCGGTTCCCCGCCGACGCTACTTTGCTTGCGGTCCCATTTTCAACTTCTCAGCTATGATGGGCAAGGCCACAAAAGTGGCCAAATACGGCGCGGGTTCGAGCCGGGCTACTTTGCACGAGTTGCCTTGCGGGCGCTTGGTTGAGAAGGGTGAGATTTGAAGTCAGCTGGCCAGCGACTCCCTGTTAGCGCCACAGCGTTCTGGGAGAACCGCCGAGCTAATTGGCCCCGAGTCATCCCGTGCTCCTTTCTCCTCACGGTGACTCACCGCTGCGGGTTTGGGGGCTTCCACCTCCTCGCCGCTCTTCCCCAGCGCGGCGGCCAGAGCCTCCTCGAGCGGCCAGCAGCCGGACGCCTTCTGGAGGGACACCAGCTCCAGCAACGGCTCTCTGCGGCGGGCCGGCGGCGGCGGCGGCGCGACTTCATTGGAAAATTCGCAGAGATCGTCCGCTTCGTCTTGGAGGTCTTCTGTGAAGTCAGCGAGCCGCCATTTGCGCTTTGTGGGTCGAGCTTGGACCGAAGCGTCCCGATTGCCGGCGGGTGACTTTGATTGCGCCGGTGCGGCAGTCGGCCGGCGCGGCGTGTCTACGTGTCTAAGACGGCTCATGAACGGATGAACGATCCAAACCAAACATTATCTCGGCCAAGCATCATGACAAAGAAGTGGATCGGCGGCTAACTTTTGTGCATGTCGTGCAAAGAGTTGAAGTACCCATTTCCTGGAAACAGCAGTCGGCCATCATCATCGGGCCGGGAGCCGAGCGCGGCGCCGAGCACATAGCGTTGCCTGCGAGGAAAGCTGCCCCCTCCCAACAAATGCGGCGTTACAATCTGAAAGGACATCGAGTGCGCAGCCGTCGCGAGCGTCGTTGAGATGTACTCACGCATGGGTTGAGGCGACCTCATCATGCACATCATCTGCATCGGCATCGCTGAAATCAAACCACAGCCGGGTCAAAAGCAACAAACGCCAAATGCAATTCTTCCATCCCATTCACTCGGGTCACCTTCATTTCACGATCATGTTCTTTCAGACTGTCCATCTCAGTTATCACCACCGTCTTTTGAAATGTGTGCCCTGCAACTGACTGGCGAGCAGTTTGGGGTGTGGTCTGCCTTTTGCCTCAAAGTTAGCTGGGATGTGTTCCGGGAACACCCCGCGACCAAGCATGCTGGAAATAGCTTTCCCATTTTAACATTATGAAGGACTGTCAATAAAATAATTCTACGAATAACACTGAAAGAAAAGCAGCGCAATTCAAATTAAAAACGGGCTCCTGCGAGAGACACTTACAACAGGGAGCGGGGATGTTTCGCCGCAGTAAAGGTCCTCCAAGCGCGGCGCCGTCTCCCTGGCGGACGGCAACGAAGGCGGTGTAGCTGCTGCTCACCCCTGACTGGACGCTGAGTTCCACCGCTTTGTCCCTGGCGCTCGCCCCTCGCCCTTTTCGCTCTTCCTCCCGAGGCCGGAGAGCGCTCGCGTCCTCCTCCATTTCCAGGGAGCGAATCGCGCTCCGAGCACCCAGCCGATGAATGGTCAAGCTTCGGG